ATATGAAATAGGTTAAAAATTCACAGTACTGCTGATAGCAAGTAGTGCAAAGACTGTTGATATCGCCCACTGCACGTAAGGCTCATATGATCCATAGATGGACAGGTTCGCCATCGTTGTCCAGAATCGGAATATTTGATAATAGATACTTTGCTTTTGCTCTTCATTTACTGCAACATACAGTAGGTTGAAATTTTCGACCGTCGATAACACTTCTTTATAGCTCATCAACAACGAGAACATCAGATACATTATTCGTTTGGAGCCTCAGTGTTGTGGCCTCCTGTTTCCAATGCACCACTGCGTTTCATGTTTTATGTATAACCGAAGGAGTTTCCTTCCTAGTACATGGTGCCCCCTCATATTTGATCGCATTCACAGAGTGCCGCATTAAATATTGCAACACACTCAAAACTGAATTTCCCTGAGAGGCATGAAATGAAATTCAAACAATATCTGATGTAGCTTCGTTATTTCGAACCTGCACATTCTTATTCGACAAGATGGCAGCCTTAAGGCCACGGTAAGGGATAAGTCCATGCAGTCTTTTAACGAGATTACGGCTATCTCTTCCGTCACCTTGAAATCTTCGGCCATCTTATTCACGCCCCGTACCGGATTCCTATGTATCCTGCTATTAAGCTGCTCGGTCGCAACAGTCACCGTTATCCCTTCCCAGGGGCGGTAAATAATCGAAGTCACCTCGTGAAAGTAATGAAAGGCACGGTGACCGTTGAGGGCACAGTTCTCGATCAAAAGTGGTTTCTGAGATTTCCCCACAGGATGAATTTGAGGCCCCTATATATACCAAGTCTGGCGCTATTATGGCGGAAAACAGCCTAGTTAGTGCGTTATAAAGGCTCAAAGGTTGGCTCGTGTGTATCCTCGGACGAGTTTCACCGGCATTGTAGAGGCTCCACCGATCACAAGAGAACCCATGTAGGAAGTTCAACCATTTAGTCATGACCCATAGTAACAGTGAAAGACAGTTTTGTACAGTTCTGACTTGATGGAGCTCTTTGCGCAATTGCAACGTCTTATCTGAGTACCCCTTCCATGTCATTTACGTCATGGTAATCTCGTACAACCTCTAATTTCCCTGCTTTCGTGGAGCCTTATTTTTCAAAATCGGCGAATTTCCACGCTTTTTTCACTACCATTCAACTATTCCGAACCTATACTTTCGCTCCGCTAAAAAGTGGTACCTCAATATTATCGTGAGCTGTGCCTTCAGACGGGGCTGACTGAATGTGCATACGATCACGACAAGCGTCATCCCATGGTAATTCAAATCCCAAATGGAAGCTCGGTGGACAAGACCAACCATTCTCTTCAAACTGACCGGACTCCTGCGGAAAGACTCCTAAGGTAAAATAGAGAAGATTTCGCCAATCTTTTGTTGTAATATTCAATGCGCACACTGTATTACAAAAAAAAAGCACGCCGAGTGTCTACCTGTGCCTCTCCACTGAGTACCTTAAGCGGAGAAGAACAGAAATCAGTGGGTTGTGTAGCAAAAGTTGCATTGTCCCTCATATTACAGGCCACCAGGCTTTCCGTGATGAAGTTGAAAAGCTCGGCTTTTTCACCACCTGCATCCCTGAATGGATGATACCATT